GTGTGTTTTGTGTGTTTGTGTTTGTGTGTTTGTGTGTTTGTGTGTTTATGTGTTTGTGTGTTTGTGTGTTTGTGTGTTTGTGTGTTTGTGTGTTTGTGTGTTTTGTGTGTTTTGTGTGTTTTGTGTGTTTTGTGTGTTTGTGTATTTGTGTGTTTGTGTGTTTGTGTGTTTGTGTGTTTGTGTGTTTGTGTGTTTGTGTGTTTGTGTGTTTGTGTGTTTGTGTGTTTGTGCGTTTGTGTGTTTGTGTGTTTGTGTGTTTGTGTGTCTGTGTGTTTGTGTGCTTGTGTGCTTGTGTGCTTGTGTGCTTGTGTGTTTGTGTGATTGTGTGATTGTGTGTTTGTGTGCTTGTGTGTTTGTGTGCCTGTGTGATTGTGTGGTTGTGTGGTTGTGTGTTTGTGTGTTTGCGTGTTTGCGTGTTTGTGTGTTTGTGTGTCTGTGTGTTTGTGTGTGTTTGCGTGTGTGCGTGTGTTTGTGTGCGTGTGTTCGCGCGATTTCGGCTTTCCTTCTTGTTGCAGAAAATAGGAGGAGGAGGAGGAGGAAGAGAGAGGAGGAGGAGGAGGAGGAGATCTGGGCTCCAAGGCTTGGTGAACATTGTATTTTTCTGTACATCTGGGTGTGACCAGGTAGAGCAGCCTGGAACTTAAGCGTGTTCTCCGCGTTGTTTATTGAGCGCACTCACGCTTAGTTCCCATGCAGTAACTCTTTCTCACGACGGGGCGCCGCCAGCTTCCCGAGCCCTCGCAACGCAGACGAAAGAGAGCAGCGCGCGCGCGAGCCAGAGTATTATTGCGACTAGCCCAAGCAAAGTTAGTTCTGCAAGGCCACCACTCTAGACAGATGGGGCACCCGCGTCGCTCTGAGGGGCCCTGCCCAGGAAGGACATGGAATTGTGTACGTTGCAAGAGAGATGTTAAGGGCCATCATTGGAAGTGCTTGTGTGACATGCATTTCGACAGCAACTGCAGCCACGGTTCTGCTCATGATTGGACACTTGTTCGGCCCCGCAGTGCTTCTCGAGGACGACATGAGAAGGGCAAAACGGGCAAGGGCAAGGGTAAGGATGACGACGCCCAAAGGCCCAAATCGCCCAAGACTTGCATTTCTCGCATCATGCCGATCACCCGTGCTGAATTGGTCAACGCTGGCCCAGCTGCCCGCGTGTTCGAGGGGCCTCCAGCCCCAGCCGACCACGAGGCGGCGCGCTTTCAAGAAGTGCATGTATCAGCATATAGATGCCATAGCGGGAGTTGCCATCGCGGCCCAAGCCGCCAACAGGCCCACGGATCAATTGCTCAAGGAGATCAGCATATACAAGTATATGATCCAGCTCACAGCCAAAGTATCAGACCAGCTTGGCCAACTCAAAAGCAGAAACAGACAATTTTGTTGACGGGCTCAGATCACTGCGCGAGCGCATGGCTCTCATTGTGGATGAAGAAAACAATTGGGATATGCGCTCGACATGGTCAATCAACACATCAACGAGGTCAAGGCACTGGAGCACTACGAGACCGACGACGACGACATGCAGGAGGATGGAGCTGCTGGCGAGTGGCAGGGGCCAGGCATGGCGGCGCCGCAGTTTGTCACTGCGCCACCGCCGGCTGCGCCCAGGGCAGGCACATGGGCGCCCTTCGGCGCACCGCCTGCCATGCAGCCCCCCCCCAGCCGCCTGCAGCCATGCCAGCCAAGGGTCAGCAGAACCACGGCAAAGGCGTGACCATGCCACCGCCGCCGCCGCCGATGCACCCTGCGCCAGGTGCTGACCTCAACAGGATTGATGGACAGATAAGCCAACTCACTAACATGATACAGGGTCTTCTGAATACTCAGCAGCGTCAGGATACCACCGTCCTCAGCATGGGCCAGGCCATGCTCAAGCTCAGCGCTGCCCAGCCTATCCCAGCCGTGGGGCCCCCTGCGCAGGCGTCGGAGTTTGCTCCGCCGATGCCTGTCGCAGTGGAAGGGGCCAAGCTCAGGGAACAGCCGACTACGCCTGCGCCAGCGGTCACACCGACGCCAGTTGCACCCACGCCTGGTCCGACGGGAACGATGCCAGCCACGGGGAGCTCACCCGCAGCCGCGGCGAAGGGGATGACCGCGACCTTTGCCAACGTGGGTTTGACCAGCGTCGAAGTCACACCGCCAGCTCATGGTCGCTGCCCCAGCTCGCCCGAGTGCCACGTCGAGAAGCCAGGTGGATCGACCCGCTCGCCCACGCCACCGCCCGCTCAGCCTACGCCAATTTCATACGGGCCACACTCTACGCCGATTTCAGCCAGCCAGCGCGAGGCTCAGAGTGCAGCAGTGATGAGGCCAGTACCAGACGAAGTAGAGCAGGTGGCTGCACTGGATTGCTTGGATCCGATATCGCCGGCTCAACCTTTCCTTCAGGGATCAGCCTCCCAGGGGGATCCCCTGCTGCAGCCGCCAACAAATTCGTGCACTTCACCGCCAGTGATAGAGATAGCTGCCTCGCCCCAGAGTGCTCAGCCATCGCAGATGTCAGGCAGCCAGATCGAAGCAGCAGCTGCGCAGGTCGAGGCCGCCTGCGCCGCAGGCGCAGACGGCGCCGTGCCGAGCCCCCCTCGCAAGCTCCAACGCGCAGGGGCTTGAGTTTCACAGGGGCAGGTACTTGCTCGGCCGAATTCAAGACCCCAAGAGTCTCTCCTTTCATGAGTATCCTCGAGTTTGTGCCTCAGAGTGTTCACAGGTATCGTTGCGGGTTGGTACCTCGTATGTGCGCTCGTTCCCTCCCCGGCTCTAGCTCATATTCAGACGGGACACGCGATTTTTGCATTGAGTTTGCTTTGGTTGTGCGATGCACGGTCTTGCTATGAGTGTTTAGTCTGTTGCACCCCTGCAGTTATCACCCGTTTCCATAACTGCCTGGGCTCAAGCTTGAAGCGGGTATGCTTGCGCATCCTCCGACCACCGCGGCAGGAGCGATAGTTGCCTTCTGGGTCGGCTTCGCGGCCCACGGCTTCCTCGGGCCTGCGGTGGTTCCTGAGCCTGACTGGCCTCGAGACGGGCCAGGACACGAGCTAGAGGACGCCTCCACCAGCTCGTCCGTCACCAGCGTGACGCGGGAGCCGTGCCCGCCCTTCGACCCGCAGATCCATTGCCCGGCGCCGCCGGCGCCACCAGCGCCCACCCCAGCGTCCCCGGAGGCGCTGCGCGTGGTGGGCGAGGGCGTGACCGCGACCGTCGAGGTCCCGGTGGTGCCGGCGAGCGCGATCGTCATCGTGCTGCAGGCCTTCGTCGGCTGGGGCTGCTGTCGCTGGTGCGAGGGCCGGGTTTCGGCACGGCGCGGGCTTGAGCCCGTCGGAGAGGCGCGGATCCACGTGGCGTGATGTCGCTCGTCGATGGAGCCGTGCCTGGCATGCGAGTGTTGGTGCAGTATTCGACGGATCCAGGCTGGACGCATGAGCGTGTTCTGTGCTGGCCCACGGCCCCTGACCTCTCGGAGTGGATGGTGTATACGGCAGGCAACCATCTGTATCCCGAGGGGCGGGCCGACTATACCTCAGTGGTGAAGTGGACTGGCAAGCGAGTGTACCCGCCTGGCACGACCAATGTGGTTGCCTTCAGCCGGCCCCTGACGGACGAGGAGCTCCTCAGCGTCGTCAAGCGGGGCCGCGGTGAGGCGATCGCTGACCACGGCAACGCGGCCGCCACATGGGCCGGGACAGGTGTGACCTGGACCGGTCGCCGCCTCGCAGTGCCGGACGTGATGGCAGTCGACGCGCCGAGGGTCGAGCGGCGGCTGCGTGGCAAGCAGGTCCGCCCCGCCGAGGCCGAGGCGGCTGCGCCGCTCGCCGACGCCGACGGGGCCGCTGGCGCCACCGGGCCGCAGCCGCCGCCGCCCGAGGAGCTGCCGCCCGGCGCCTGGGTGCTGAGCTCGCTCGACGGCGGCGCCGACTTCGGGCTGGAGGTGAGACTGTCGCCGAACGCCGTCGTCCGGGGCAGGTATGGCGTCGACCAGGACCCGCGGGGCGAGTGGTTCCCGATCGAGTTCGTGACGGACGACGCGATGGAGCGGTGGCGCGAGGACAAGCTGGTGGCGGCCGACAAGCTCCGGCCCGCCCGCGAGGCCTTGGAGGAGAGACTCTTCCCGGGCCGCGAGGCCGGCGCTGGCGGGACCGCCACCCCCCCGCCAGAGCCAGAGGGCGGGGGGCTTGGGCCCGAGTGCGTCGCCACTCACGAGAGGGAGGACTTGCGCACGTGCTGGATCGACGCCGACGAGACCGGTGCCAGGTTCAAGGAGTGGAGGAAGGTCGTGCAGGAGAGCACACAGGAGATCTTCTCGGACTCGAGCATCCGTGGGCCCCCTGCCTGCCTCGAGATTTGTCGTAAGATGTATCGCCATGGTGGCACACCCAAGATGTGGTTTCAGGAGTGGTGCAAGGAGCAGGGCGTAACCAGGAAGGATCGCGCCTACCACGAGGTGCAGACCTTGATCGAGGTGCTGTACCTGGCGGGGACCTATGACCAGCTCAACATGGGCGCCCTGGCGTCGTTGGAGGTGGTCTCGCGGCGGCTGTTGCAGTATGTGGAGGCCTACGCGCACGGGGCCGAGAACGCGAACTGGGGCGCGGCGAAGCACCTGGGCGGCACGACCAACCCGCTCGACTTGGTGCCCGACGCGCTCCGAAGCTATGCCAGCCGACTGTCCAAGGAGGAGCAGGAGCTGGAGGCGCTGCGGATGCGGTCCCGTGTCCCCGGCGCTGCTCCAGCCGACGGCGCGGGCGCGGCAGCCGCGGCCGTCGCCTCTGGCGGCCTGCCCGCCGCTGGAGCTGCCGGCGGCGCCGCGGCCGGCGCTGAGGGAGGTGATGCGGCCGGCAAGGGCCGCGGTCGAGGCGGGCGGGGCCGTGGCCGCCGCCCGCCGGGCACATGACGCCCGAGGCCGAGGGAGGCGGGTGCCCGACCGTCTCCCGCAGAACCAAGGGCAGTTCGGGGCTCCGTGGGTCGGCCTGCCTGCCCATAGCCCCGCTGGCGGCGCTCCCGGACGACTGGTGCGACGGCCTGACGCCTGGTCAGCGGCGCCGCTGGCTGCGAGACGGCAACGCAGCCTGCAAGAGCTTGAATTACTTGCACGGTGGTGAGCATCGCAGTGGCACGGCGCCCGAGGGGAGCGTTAGCCAGCGTAAGATGGATCTCATCAGGGCCGATGTGCAGCAGCGCGTCTTCTCGGCGGCTCGTCGCTGGATTGATGTTGACAGCGCCATCACAGAGCAGGAGGCTTTGGCCAAGCTTCTGAAGGGCAAGGCGGGCTACGCTCCCCTTGGCTCTACCAGCATGGGCTCCTACGAGTACTCGCGGGTCAGCTTGCCGGACTGCGTCCTGGACGCCCCCAGTCTGGCCCAGATGCTACTTGCGGAGGCGAGGATTTTTCTCGAGGAGTACTCCACCAAGATCTGCTTCCCCCTCGTGAGGCGGCGCTAATACGAGAGCTTCATGGACTTCCTGTTTGTCATACTGACCCTCTGCTGCTCCAACGTCCTCGGAGCTACGCGAAGTTCGTGAGACGAGCGCTCAGGATCGGGCTCGTGACTTTGACCCGACGACCCTTGAGCGTTCTTGGACTGTTTTTTGTAAAGAAGAAGGATGGTGAGCGCCTGCGCCTCATCGTGGACTGTAGACGCAGCAATGCTCTTTTTCGTCCCCCGCCTGGTGTCGACTTGCTGTCAGGTGAAGGGCTTGGCCGCATCGAGGTGCCGGTGTTTAAGGAGGGGGACCTCAGCGAGCTGCGCGTTGTCCTGGGGGTCGGCGACGTCGCCGACTGCTTCCATCGGATGAAGCTGGACGGCGACATTCGGCGCTATTTCTGCTGGCCGCCGCTGCTGGCCTCTGCCACAGGCGAGACCCTCATCGAGGGTCAGGCGGCCGGCGACTCAGAGATGGTGTGGCCCATGAGTCAGAGCTTGCCGATGGGTTTCTCATGGTCGCTCTTCTTCGCGCAGGCGGCCAACCAGTCGCGGCTCGATCGGCAGCCGTCCTTGGCAAAGAGCTTGCGGCTCAGTGATCGAGGGCCGCCTCTTGTCCTTCGCCGCGGGCCACATAGTGAGAACCTCGGCCACTTCATGTACGTCGACAGCGCCGGCGTCCTTGGCTTGTCAGACACCGCCGTCCGCTCAGCCCTTCACGAAGCCCAGACTGATTTCGATCGTGACCATCTCAAGTTTCATGAGGTTGAACTTCACGTGGGAGGTGGTCGTACACTGGGCTGCCACCTGGATGGAGCGAGGCTCTGCACGCGGCCTACGGACGAGAGGTTCGCAACCGTGCGGAAGGGCCTGCGATGTCTCCTCAGGCAGCGCAAGGTTGCCGGGTGGCAGCTTGAGATGGTGCTGGGCCACATGACGTTCATGGCCTTGGTTCGGCGCGAGCTGCTGTCTATCTTTCACGCAGTGTACGCTTTCGTGACGAGCAGCTATCACACTTTTTCAGTCCTTTGGCCCACTGTTCGAGAGGAACTGGAGTGCTTCTTGGGATTGATGGTGATGCTCGAGGCTCGCTGGGACCGCGACTGGATGCCTTTCGTTTACTCGTCGGACGCCAGCCTTTACGGATACGGCGTCGCAGAGGCGGAGTTCGACTCTGCCCAGGTGGCTCTAGTCGGCCGCATCTCGGAGCTGAGTCGGTGGCGTTTGTGCGCTGGTCTGGCTCGTCAGCACGCCTTCGAGAGTGCCGGGTTTCTTTTGAACTCAGAGACGGGCGAGGTTGTCCGCGACGCCGAGGGGGCGCCGAGGCGGCTCGACTCCGAGCTGCTGGACATCCTCAACAGCGAGCGCTGGGAGTGCGACCCGGCGTTCCCCGAGGTCCCGCATGAGCTGCTTCACGATTCCCACTGGAAGACCGTGATGGCAGATCGCTGGGTTTTTGCTGACGATATTCTGAGGCTTGAGGCCAGAGCACTGGTGAAGGCTGCCTCTCGAGCGGCCCATTCTCAGCCAGTCAAAGACTGCCGCGTCCTCCTACTGGGGGACAATCTCTCGGTAGTGCTCTGTTTTTGTCGTTTCAGGTCCAGGGATTTTCGGCTGCTAATTCAGGTCCGACGTTTTGCTGCGCTCTGTCTGGCGAGAAACATCAGATTTGTTGTCCGATGGATACCAAGCGAGTTCAACTCTGGCGATGAAGGCAGTCGGAAGTTTGATCCAGAATATGACAGCTCCAAGACCCTCGTATCCCATTTAGGCTCAAACCAGGCTTCGGGTCCCGTGTCCTCAGGCTCCTCGCGGCAGTGCGATGGGGGGGGCCCAGCCGGCCTCGCCGGGCCGCCAGCGGACGCTGCAGCGCGAGAGCCTGCCGCCGCGGGCGCCGGCCGCGGGCTCGCTGCAGGAGCCGGCGGCGAGTGCGCCTTGCAGAGTGCGCACCCTGAGCCCGGGGGCGGGCGCGAGCAGCTCTGCGGCGGCCCCGCCGGCGAGGCGAGCGCGTGTGCTGGACACGTCCCAGGGCCTGGATGCGAGGCTCGTGGCTGCCGCCCCGCCGCGCTGCCCGGCGCAGACGGACACCGTGGAGGCTTTCCTCGAGACGCCGGCGGGCAAGCTGATTCCAGCAAGCGCAGGCGTCCCCGCGGCGGCCGTGGACGCGGGCGCCTCACAGAGCTACGAGAGCAGCGATGTGGAGGAGCGGCGGGTGGTGACCGCCTCGCGCCGGAACCTCGAGCTTCGGGGCAAAGCTCGCGTCCGCAGGGCCATCCAGGCCCACGGCGGCGACATCTGGAGGCACGGCCACAACACGGGGCTGAGCTACTTGGAGAAGCGCTCGGTGGGGGCCAGGTCGCTGGAGACCTACCGAGAGTGCGCCCTCGCGTTCTGTGCCTGGGCAGGCTTCTTGCTGACAGCCATGCCCGCGTCGGCCGTGCTGGACGTAAAGTTGGTCGAGTACATGAACAAGCTCTTCCTCGAGGGGGTCAAGAGCTGGCGTGGAGAGAAGCTCATTGCTGCAATGATGTTCTTCCACCCGGACTATGGGAAGTCTGGTGGCCTCTACATGCCTCGTGCCCTTCGTACTCTCAAAGGTTGGAAGCGGCTCAGCCCATCAAGATCGCGGAAGCCCTTGGTGTTCGCGATATGGGCGGGCATCGCGGTCGAGTTGGCCAGGCTGGGCGCTCCTCTCGCCGGGGTGATGGTGCTCATCATGGTGGAGTGCTATCTTCGACCCGGCGAGATGCTGGGGCTGACGTCGAACTCGTTCCTGCCACCTTGCAGCCACGCCGTGGACAACTGGGTGCTGCTCCTCTTCCCGGAGAGCGGCACGGCGCGCAGCAAGACGGGGTCGTCGGACGACTCGATCCCGATCGATTCAGGAAGGATGGCCTGGATGCATCACATCTACCGGGCCCTTCGCGATCGAGGGTCGTCTCAGCCGCTGCTCGGCCTGACCTACCCGCAGTTCTTGGCGCTGTTCAGGCGGGCGGCTCACAACATCGGGGTCGACGCGGTGCCCTACCAGGGGAGACACTCCGGGGCAAGCCTGGACAGGGCCTCGAACCGCCGGACTCAAGAGGAGGTCCAGAAACGCGGGCGCTGGGCCACACTCACCTCGGTCAAGCGCTACGAGAAGGCGGGCAGGCTGAACGAGTCGTGGGAAGGCCTGTCGGAGCTCACGAAGTCGTTCTGCGTGGCTGCTCTGAGGGTGATGGAGGATGTCATCCTTCTCGGCCGCCCCGCACCCGTTCCAGCATCCCAGCGCCCCCCGGCCTGAGCAAGGCCGCCGCCTGCGCCGTGCTCAAGGCGCAGAAGGCTCCGTATATCTTGGATCTCTTCGCCGGTGGTGGAGGGGTCGCCGCGTGGGCTCGCAAGCTGGGGGTACCTGCCATCAGCTTAGACCTTCGGCAGGGTGCTGACCAGGATGTGTGCAGTGCTGCCAACCTCCGCATCATCGCGGATCATTTTCGCCGTGGTCTCATTCGTGCTGTGATGATTGCGCCTCCGTGCGCGTCCTTCTCGCTGGCCCGGAACAGGTACCCCGTCAGGAGTGCCCAGTTTCCTCAGGGCCTACCACGATTGCGAGCCCATGATCGTGAAACAGTGAAGATTGGAAACTTGTGTTTATCTGTCGCAGTCTACATCATTCGGTTGTGCGTTCATTTCAAGATCCCTTATGCTATGGAGAATCCAATGGGCTCGTACTTGTGGCGGCAGGATAATGTGGCCGCTCATGTTCTTCCGCACTCGTGGGCTATAGACCTGCATCAGTGCGCTTTCGGTGCTCATTGGAGGAAATCCACGCGCATTGTCATCGGCTGCCCTACCGAGTCAGGCAACCTGGCTATCATTTTCCCGGATCGCCTCAGATGCCACGGGAAGCACGGTTTCTGCTCGTTCCGTCCTGGTCATAAACATTTGATTCTAGAGGGTAAAACGATGACCTCGAGGGCCGCCCAATATCCTTATCGTCTGGCAGAGTTCCTTGCGAAGATCCTACTTGACTTGTAATATGTGCAGTGCTGCGTCCTTCTCTTCTTCAGGGCTTTCTCGCACTACATCAGGGTTGACGCCTTCCCGCACCTCCGTACGGCAATGGTCTGGGTACCGCTGCGCTGAGAACTTCGACTATGCCAAAGAGTTTGGATTTTTGTATTCTGGCTTCTGTCTTGCACGTCTGACGGCTCTCGAGAACCTTGGCGGAATCCATTCGGTATCAGATTGCACCACCGAAAAACGATCACTAGCATGGTTGTGCGATGCACGGTCTTGCTATGAGTGTTTAGTCTGTTGCACCCCTGCAGTTATCACCCGTTTCCATAACTGCCTGGGCTCAAGCTTGCCCGCCCTCGGCCACCCTGGACCTGTGTACATAGCGCACAAACCTTTCACCTCCTTCTTCCCCTTACGGGGAGCGGATTTTTGTATTCTGGCTTCTGTCTTGCACGTCTGACGGCTCTCGAGAACCTTGGCGGAATCCATTCGGTATCAGATTGCACCACCGAAAAACGATCACTAGCATAGATATTCCCGAGTTTGCCAAGCCTGTCTGTTCCTGTTGCGATTGCATTGTGTTGACCTCGAGTTGTAAGTATGACTCGCACGCACACGCCGCCGCGCCAGGCCCAGCGTGGCACACCTCGTTTCATGGGAAAACACACGCATCCGCTCAGTGCTTTGCGTGACGCATGTGCCCACTTCGCTTTCAGCCGCTTGCGCAGGGATGAGGTTTAGGAGCAGGGGGGGGCAGATGTCACTTCAGTCGCAGGGAGCCGCACAGAGAGCTCCAACGTCGGGAACCACGTTGAGAGCCCTGGGCGCCCTCTAGGCGACGATGGGAACGTATCTTCGACGTGGGCACTCTTTAATTTTAGGTCGAGCTTATGCAATTTGCATTCCTGCCGCTCTCCTCGGGGCATGACAGGAGAAGCTAGGAATCAAGGCGACTCAGGACCTCAATCACACGTTTGTTTTAGGGGCTCCAAGCTTCGCTTTTTTGAGCAATTGGGATGGTCTTGCCTTCCCCCCTCCTCCTTGAATCCCTCGTGCCTCTCTCACCTCCTAACCAACTATAACTCCAGCGACTGTGAGGGGTTGTGCGAGTGGGCCCCTGCCTCCGCTGTTTGCTGTGTAAGTGTGGGGGAGGGTGTGATGGGGCGCATGAGGTATGGGGGGGATGACAGCACTAAGCGCACACCTGAGAAGCAGACCTTTGGGACCCAGGCTGGACAAGGTGAATGCCAGCATCGGCCGTGGGCACGATGTTTAATATATTTCTGCGAATGTTCGTGATGGGCCATGTTTGCCAGCCAGACGAGCAACCCTGACTGTGCTCACGAGTATCGCGGTGTGACCGCATGTGCACCTCTTCGGGTTCATCCCGATCAATGTTCCAAGATATGTATTTTTGGTCATATGGCGCTGGCACAAACTTCCGCCCATCTTTATATTATCACAGTGGCCTTGCAACTCTGCAACTCCCACCTAAGCTCTATGTTAAGCTTCTCTTATAGTTTTGTTTGTTGTGCCGATGTGTCACTAGTCATGTCGCTACGCGGAGGTTCTTCTGGAAGTAGCACGAGCCAACAGCAGCTGGATGGCCTGGCGTCCAATGGACCTGAGTTTTCCCTGCCTGTCCAAGGACCTTGCGCCAGAGTTACGTTTCCCGATCGGGATTATGTGGCGCACTGCGCTCGGGCCCACCCCGTGCCACCCCCCAGTTCATGATACATCGCAGTTGTCAGGATTACCTGAAGAAGCTAGCTTGGCATTGGGGCTGTGCCCACAACGTCCTTGCTCCCCTTCGTTCCTTCATGTGTTTACGAACGGTTCCGTCAAGGACGCTGATGATGACATTGCGGCGTGGGCTTTTGTTCTAGTGTACCGCGACGGGCAAGGATTCTCTTATGGGGGAAGGCACGCAGGCAGAGTTGCGCGAACCTGCAGGGCTATGCCGAACCACCCACTTACCAGCACGGACAGCGAGCTTGTCGCTGTGATGTGGGTTTTGTTTTTCTTGCTCTCTTTGCCAGGTGAATATCCCACCCATATAGAGTCGGATTCGATGAACGCAGTCCGTGCACTCCAAGGCTCAGCCGGCCCTCCGCGGGATGACCCCATTGCTCGCCTCACGTGCTCTATGTGGCTCACGCTGTCCGTTGTCAGGCCTGTGAGTATCTCCCACGTCAAGGGGCACTCTGGACACCCCTGGAATACTTTGGTTGACCATATTGCCCGCCATGTTTTGCTTGGCAAGCTTCCCCCGTCGCGTGTTCCTCTGGGACTAGTCGATGCTGCCTCCTACCATATTGGGCGCGAGTGGGAGTGGGTTCCCCAACTGGACCCCCAGGCGGCTGCCTCTTTCCCTGAGTGGGGAGCTGTGGTCAGTACGCCTGTGCCCTCCTGCAGGGCTGCGGAGAGCCACATAGCTCACCTCGCCCAGACGAGAATGATCAAGTCAGGGGGCGCACAGGTTAGGATCAAGGTTGCCCAGTGACGCCCGCTCTACTTCCACCAAGCAAGCGAGGGGGAAGGTTGGCAAGGCCCGCAGGGCCAGAAATAAGGCGTTCCGACTTCAGTTCTGGGCTCTTGGCGCGCATATAGTGGGCATCCAGGAGGCCAGGAATCCAAAGGGCGCGAGGTGCGCAGATGATTTCATCATTCTCTCGTCGGGAGCTGGCTCTTGCAAGGGGGGCCCAGGGTTAGGTGTTGAGCTTTAGGTTAATCGTAAGACCCCCTACGCCACGCTGGGGCAAAAAGAGCAAATTTCCCCCTGGCCATGTGAAAGTTTTGTTTTCTGATGCCAGAGTTAGGGTGGCCAACTTTTGTGCTCCAGGGATCCAGATGGCGGTTGTTGTTGCGCGCGCCCCCCATTCCAAGAAGCCCCCCCTCGAGAGAGCAGCATTCCGGACCCATCTTGAAGAGCTCTTGCACCGTTGGACACCGCAGATTGTTTTGATTGACGCGAATGCTAAAGTAGGCTCTGTCACGTCCGCAGTGATAGGCTCGCAGGGGATTGCTCAGGACCAGGATGCCCAGGGTGAGCGATTCCATGAGGTCCCTGCTGGGTCATCTTTGAAGCTTCTGAACACGTTCTTTCAGGACCCTGAGAGCGGACGCGCCTACACTGAGCCCAGTGGAGGGAAGCACCGTCTGCAATTCATCATGACTGATGCTGCCACCTTCTTGCAGGCTGACCAGGTTGCAGCGCTTTATTCCTTTGACAACTTGGTGGCCATCAAATACTATCACTCATTGCAGGCAGAGTTTTCGTGGGGCTGTACGTCGCAAGCACACGAAATGGCGCGGTGCCCAAGGTTGGACCCCCGCAAGCTTAAGGACGAGTCTGCGTGTGCCAGTTATGGGAGGGATCTTGCCCTGCTCTGTTGGTTTCCCTGGGACCTGGACAAGTTTTCTGAGCAGGCTATACAATTGGCCAACCAGGTGTTTTCGTACCCAGTGAAAGCACCGAAGAAAGAATGTGTTTCCTCTCTTGCTTTAGATTTGATCATATGGAGGAGAGCGGCTACACGAGCACTGAGGCACATGTTTGTGCCACCGCCTCTGCACCCAGGGACCGAGGGCGTTTCATTTGACCCCCCCCAGGGGGGCCCCTCCCTAGTGAGAGCGGCGTCACAGCACCATCTCCTCGTCTTGCCGCTCTGTCCATGCTGAACTTTGCCAGAAGAGCAGAGCATGGGGATTTGAAGAATTCCTCTGAAAAAGGCTCATTGGTGAGCTGAGACGAGCTGTCCAGCCCGCCAGGTCAGCAGCGCGCGGATTCCGACGCAACCTTATTGACATGTATGAGTTCGGGGACAGGCTTATTTATTTTCTCCTCTCCAGCAAGCTCACCCTTTCCAATCTCCTGGAGATTGATCGGACCTGGCAGCTAGAGGAAACAGCTAAAGAGATTACTTTTTAAATAGATGTCAAGTTGCCGAAGCATCAATTGGACAAGGTCAAGTCCCTACTTGCAGCGGGGGGCAGGAAGGGTGGTGCATCTCGGGTTCCCGATGTTCTCTCCCATATGATGCCCCCCCCCCCCCCCCCCCCCCCCTTCTCCTGACGAGATTAGAGCTGCGGATGATACGGGACTTGAGCCGTGTCCTAGGATCTTAACCACTCAGAAGGAGGTGATTAACCATATGCAAGATCATTTTCGTGCTGTCGAGTTTGGAAGGACACATGACCTGCAGGGCATTGTCCAAGCCTTTAATGATATGCCCCAGCTGATGCGGGCCAACCCCGATCGCGAGGTTACCATTATCCCTGCAGTGCTTGATATTGAGTTTATCCTGCGCAGCATTAAACAGGCAGGTCCCCTGGGCCCGATGGTTTTCCCTCTGCGCTCGAGAAGGCTGCCCCGCGTGAAGTTGCACGAGCTCTGTGCCCGTTGCTTTGCAAGATTGCGTTGAGTGTCCGTGAGCCTCTGGTCTTCAAGCTAGGAGAAGGCACGTTCTTTTACAAAGGGTCTGGACCACCCCAGCTAGCACGTGCCCAGCGCAACATTACCATGGCCAGTACTATATGTAAGTTACGCCATGGGAATTTACGCAATTTGGCCCTATATTTATGTGGCATGTGCTTGCTAGCTGAGCAATGTGGGGGTGTGGCCTGCAAAGGACCCGAGATGCCCCTCCATGGTATCCACCTACTCAATGTGGCATGTGAGTCAAAGTGCGTTTCGCTGCTGTGTCTCTCCCTGGACCTTGTTGACGCTTTTTTATACTGTCATGAAACAGTTTGCTCTGTCTCTTCCTGGTGAGGAGGAAAAGCTTGCAGATGCTCTTGAGCAGGTGGCTATGCCCGAGGCCCTCATGGAGGGGGCCAAAGCTATCCTTGAGTCTCGGAAGCCTCTGGAGGCCAACTTAACATGTGCCCACCTAGTTGCCCTGATCAGAGAATCTCAGAGGGGTACGTGTTGGCAGGTCAGGAACGCAGACGACTATGTGGCGCCTGCAGGAGGCACGCGACCAGGAACAATCCTGGCCACTGATTCATTCAACATTGTTTTTCGCGTTGTGTTGCTCAAGATTCGGCAGTCGGTAGCGCAGCTAGAGTCAGAAGTGAGGCATGCTCTTCCTGCGCCTGAACTCATTTGTGCGTCCGTGGCAGACTGGGAGGGAGCACAAGCTGATCTCTCTTTTGTGGATGACTTAACTGTTTCCCTCGTTGTGCGAGCCGCGCGTGACATGCCTCGGTCCGCTCTTGCTCTCTCTGAAGCAGTATATGTTGCTTGTGTCACGCATGGTTTGAGACCCAACAGCTCTAAAACCAAGATCCTGTTCTGCTTGAGGGGCAAGGGGCCCAGGATTGTGCCAGGCTTTTCCACCCAAGACGTCCAGGCTGTTTCGTCTGATAAGTGGTCGTTTTCCTTTCCTGTGGTCCAGGTCCATAAGATTTTGGGAGATCAAGCTTCGGCTCCAAATTCTGTGGCCTGTGAGGTTTCCATTCGGGTTTCCAAAGCCAGAGGGGCACTTGCTCCCATTCGTGCAACAGTTGCCCCGCGATCTGCACTCTCCACCAGAGCCAATATCTTGTATGCAGAGGCACTAGCCTCTTCAGTGTTATATTACGCTGCTAATGTGTGGCCGGCTCTCACGGCGGCTCAGGGACGCATGGTAGCTACAGTGCACACCACAGTATATAGGACTGCACTTAACTGGGTTTCTATTAGCAATGCTAGTGAGCATGACCTAACGGCCAAGGTACTGTATGACGCCCAGCGGCTCCCCCACCCCGTTGTTATGTGAATTTCACGCTTACGTTACCTTGCTCGCATGCTTGCACATGCCCCTCCTCTTGCACGGGTATTAGTTGATGTTACCTGGGACTGCACTAAGGGATGGGCTCAGTTTTTGAAGGGGGATGCTGAGTGGTTGTGGTTTCATACTGAACCGACTCGTAGGCCTGATGATATGTCTGCGGCTGGTTTGGTTCGTTTTGTACTCGGCCACCCTCGCGCGTTTCGCTCTATTTTGGCTGCTGCCATCCTCCGCGCCAAGCCATGCGAGCAAGACGTTCAGCACAGGCTGATATGGGAGCGTGAGTTGAGCAAGGCCACAGAGAGTACCCACTTGGGCACGCCCTGCTGCCTTGACGCCTTGTTTGCGCGCCCCATTTGCTCTCGCCAAGCTGTGTCCGAGCAGCAACTACGCGCCCACGTGGGCAAGTGGCACAAGGAGCCAGGAGCGCCGTCCCGACTTGCAACGGGATTTTGTTGTCAAATGTGCTTCAAGGACTTTTCCTCCGTTCCTCGCCTCGCCCAGCACCTCCGCAACTCTCCCTCGTGCCGCTTTTCTTGGAGCAGGTCAGGAGCGGCGCAACCGACCGACCAGGAAGTCGAGGGCGCCAGGCTCGAGGCAAGGCGCGCATCGGCGGCCAACCGCCAGAAAGGGAGGCCCGACAACTTTGCAGATAGACCCCCCAGGCAATGCGAGGGCCCCCCTGTTGGCCCCTGGCACAGAGTCACGCGAAGGCAGATCAAGGAAACCCGTCCTGCCATGGTTGTTGAAGTCCCCCCCGGGCCCCCTCTCCCTGGGGCCTTCTGCTTTTTCTCGCTCCCCACCAGGCCCCTCAAGTTTATCCTGCACCTGTTCTCGGGGTGTCGGAAGTTTTATGATTTCCAATGGCATGTCGAGAAAATCGTGGGGCGTTTTCCTGTTAATGTGGAGGTTCTGAGCGTGGATATCCCCGACCATCCAGTTCTTGGGGATCTCACGGCACCTGACGCGATTGCCCTCTGGATTTCTCTCCTTCGCTCGGGGCGCGTGGCGGCCGTAATTGCGGGGCCGCCCTGTGGAACCTGGTCTTCGGCGCGAGTCTCGCCTGCCCGCCGCGACGCGCCTGAAGGAAGGCGACCCCTTCGACCCCCTCGCAATGCATGTCATTTGTGGGGGCTAGGGCATCTCAACCGGCGTGGGAGTGAGCAGGTAAGGCAGGACAATGTACTCTTGCGCACTACAGTTAGGCTATTGCACGAGGCTTGGGTTCACCAGGTGCCAGCCATCATGGGGCATCCCTCCATCAACCCCGTGGATCCCGAGGTCCCTGGTGCCTGGCTTCTCCCCCAGTTCACTCGGCTTCTGGGGCTCCCTGGGGTCAAGGCTCACCATTTTCACCAGTGCATGTTTGGTGCGAGAGCCTTGAAACCCACCACCCTCCTGGCCATCCACTTGCCAGCCATGGCCACCCTCTTGGGCGCTAGAGATGGGGCAGGCATGTGCACCCACCCCCAGCCGCATAAGGGGTCTATCGGGGGTAGGTAGCTGTTCTTGGCGAATTGTGCGTACTAAGTCATGTCCGTCCCAGTTGTGCCAGGTTTTGGCAGCTTCGCTGGTTCAGGAGATTTCGGAGCGGTATCCTGCGATAAGTCATAATCCCTTCCCCTCCCTTCGCCCGTTTGCAGCTGCGAGCAGGCTCCGATGGGCCCGCAATGACGAGCGTTCACTCAGGAGCAGTTTCGACCTCAGCAGTTGTGACGACGGATGGGAGGTTCCGATAGGACTACGACGGTTCATATCCCCACTCGACCCCTACGTGGTTGGAACGATGGCCATGGATTGCATGATCCACCAAACCACAGTTCAGACGGACCCGAGTGTGTGATGTGACGTGACGGTCTGCTTCTCTGGTCTTCTCTTCATCATTATCCGATTGAGTTGCAGAGTTGCAAACGTGGCTGACCACCACGCACTAGATAGGAGTGTGAATGGTCATGCAATGAAGGATTGCCGAGCCCACCAAAGCTCCGCCAGGCGCGCCACCTTCTTGGCAGTAGTTGCATGGTGCGAAGTGTTCCACATTGGAAGCTTTGCTGCACCTCAGGCAGTAGCACTCCTGCCTACCAAGGGGGAAGGTCTATTCTCTTCTTAAGCCCCCCTTATTTCCTGCTCATTTCTTAAGTGCCCATCCACTTTAAGCGACGATAGTACCACTTGTGTATGTTTGTGCCAGCCCACGGCCACAGTGGGATCGCGCCTACAGGCGCTGTTATCTGCTCAGATCCACTTGCTGGTCTGCTTGCTGCTGCTGCTCCGTTCTTCACCCAGTGGTTTTCTCGCCCTCGTCTCTCCATTCTGGCGTCGACTCTCCGCCTTACGACCGACCGACCGACCGAGGAGGAGGAGGAGGAGGAGGAGGAGGAGGAGGAGGAGGAGGAGGAGGAAAGGTTGCGTTCGGACGAAGCCCAGAGTCACCAGCGCCCAGCTTCCAGGAGGCGGATGCGAACAATAATCAGGAAGAAAAGGAGGAGTCGGGTTAGCCAGGTCGAGCGAGTCAGAAGGCCTCGCCATTTCCCACCTTCCCCCCACACCACGACATTCAAGTGTGGTGCAGCATGATATTGGGATTGGAGCGCGTTTCCACCTATCAAACGGAAGGCACTTGCTCGAGGCCTTTCTTCCGACTGCTCGAAGGGAAGAGTACGGGGGCCGCGAGCGGCATAATTTCCGATGGGCGCGGCAACGACGAAACATGCACCGCGTTGGCACAGCACTGACACATTCACTTGCAAAATGCTCGGGGCTTGGGCGAGATCGGCATTTCTCCCGCTCTTGTGCGGTTCCGCTGCTTCTGCCGGTTTTATGTCAGTCGGCGAACGGTCCATGCGCCGCGCCCGCGCGGGAATGCCTTTTCGAACTGCGCACGGAACATGGACGAGGGCGACAATTCGCCCGCTCGCGCGGGCCTCCCAAAATTGTCGAATGACAAGAGTGCGACGTGATTGGCGGGGCGCCACTTTCAGTCGAAATCTGCGCGGCGCCGAGGCGAGAACGACATGTTCGTCGTCGCGCGCGTCGACGAAGTTGCGTGCGAAAAATGTAGCTTCGCTGATTGGGGAGGTCAACTCTGCAGAGAAACGAGCGCGACACACTGTTTGTCAACATGTAGGTCTGGAGGTCCGTGATTGGCCGGCTGTCGGCCGGTTTTGCGTCTGGATAGCGTGTCGTTCCACGGGTGATGGCCCACCACGCCTCGGGGTGACACGCTGTCCACGTGGCGCTCCCCAGAAGTCCACATGCCGAGTTTGTCCCAGCTCCCCGCCCCGCGGAACGGAGCGACACGCTATCCGCTTGCAGGGCACTCCTTGTCGCCAGGGCCGCCACCGCGGCACGCGAAGCAAAAGTTCTTGACCGTATATTCAGGAGGGAAACGGAAGGGGGAGGGGGAAGAGAACGGCACGCGTGACGAGCCCAGGGACACGGCCACCCTGGGCAACTTCGATATGTACGCGGTTGACGGCGTAGCCGCCGACGAGGCGTGCTGCGACTGCGGCGGCGGGGTGCACAAATGGGCCCGGGACTGAGACGAGGCCCTGATCCTTTTGCCTCCTCCATCCGTGCAGGAGGGGGAGAGAAGGAACAGGAGGATGAGGAGGACTAGAAGGACACGACTCTGTTAAGGCTGTATGTCCTCTAGGAGCATTCATTCCAAGGATGCCGCAGTGATGCCGAGGTTTGCGACGCCGCCTGCGTCGACTCGAACGGCACTGCAGGCCTGCTGGTGGCCTGCTGGTTGCTCCCTGACAGCACTCGCCGCCGCAGTGGACGCTTCTGTGGTGTTGTATGCTCATTGCACCCCTCAGACACCGTCGTTGTCCGAAAGGCTCCGACGCTGCAGAGGCAAGCATGGTGACCACAGGGGCCTCGCTCCATCCGAACACGGCATACTGACAACAACGTGGCCAAGCGGACAACGAGCGGCCATCAAAGCGACAACGAAGGTGCAGTATCAGCATTCAGGTGCCCTCGTGCCTCTGCTGCGCGCGTGCTCAGACATGGGCGGTGCCGCGAGTAAAGAAAAATAAGCTGCTCGATCGCAATCCCCGATCCAGCCCTGTCTCAACCCTGGGGCATCCCGCAGAGGTGGGGCGGGACTGCGGGGGGATCGACCGACAGGCCCTGCAGCAGACACGAGCACCGCCAGTGGCCTGACTGACATCCACTCACTGGTGGGCCGCCCGCTCCAGATTCACACACTGCTCGGGCTCTCCTGGTGGCTGGCATTCGTGGCACATCCTGTACATCCAGGCGCGGCCACTGGAGCAGAAGTGCAGCAGCGAACCCCAGCACAGCACGCGCAATCATCAGCTGGCGCTCATGCCTATTTGGCTGTCTGGTCACTCGACATTTTGGAGTCGAGCCTCGCTGCTGCCTGGAACTTCCCTATGGGAAGAAGCCTCTCCTCTGGCGGCACTCCCTCCTCCAGTGATGTGCGCTTTGAACTTCTGAACAGATCTGATTTGATGCTTGAGAGGAGGGTGGTTGCAGAACGTTGTAGCAAGGTGTTGAGCGTTGTAAAGGCATCCATACATCCCTCCTCGTTCTCTGACCTCCTCATCCTCCCCCTCCTTCTCTTCCTCATCCTTCTCTTCCTCCTCCTCCTCCTCCTCCTCCTCCTCCTCCTCCTCCTCCAGCGACATGTCGGCACAAGCATTCGTCGGTCGCTCGGTGGCGTCAGGTCGTCACACATGCAAGTGTTTCATTATGCTATCCCGACTTGATGGTCGATGTCGGGGGCCGCCACCTGATCGAGATGGCTGCGGGTCTCGGCCTTCAATCCCCTGAGCGCAAATCGGGCCGACCGCAGCGAGAAGTTAGAGTTCCATTTCAGGGGCTTCGACGTGCCAATGTTCATAGGAACGCAGCTGAGGGCTCCAGCGGATGGCCAGGTTACGAGGAAGAGAATCGGGAAATATGTGTTTATCCAGGCGGGATGGCTCCCAGGACCGTTTACAAACAAGGCTGCTGGGTGCGGTATCCTTCTGGGCTCTATGGTGAAAGAAACCAACATCGTTGGCCATCCTCTTGCCACCTCGGTCTCTACATGGACGGGGACTGGGACTTCGTCTCAAACTCCGCGGTATTGATATCCTACCCATCGCCGCCTATTTCCTTCCGAAGCCGAGAATGTTAGCAGCCAGGCCGAACTATTTCAAGACGGTGGAGCTGCTGACAAAGTGGATCAGCGACACGCTGAGGAGGGCACGTGGCAGGACTACGCCTATCTTAGCAGTGGATTTGAATGACGGGATGGGGGTTGAGGAGGAGACGGGCGGTTTTTCTGGTACCACTGTTCTTCGTGCGCCGGTCGCCTCGAGGGAACTCTACCAGTCTGGCTCTGGGAGAATGCTTCGGAAAGTACTCGAGGAGTTTGATTTCGTTTTCGTCGACGGAGGGCACCCCTTCACCCCGACTTGGAACGGGCCTCAGGGGGAGCAGAAACGACTTGATATGTTGTTTGTTCCTCGTGCCTTCGTGGGCCACTTGCACCAGGCGGGCGTGCTCCGTAAGCTAGGCCGAGAAGTGCAACATATACGTACGCGCAGTCCACGAGATCACATACCCATACATGCAGCATGGAAGATATCTTTCTTACCTGGGGGAAGAATGTTGGTAGGTTTAGATGGGATCTCTCTTCTCCCATGGAAGCTCTTACGCGAGGGACTCGCCGTCAAGAGCTGATTGCTGCAGTTGAAGAAGAATTCGCTGGCAGAGAGCGCGAGCTCGTGAACCTTCTGGCTCAGCCCACTCCCGACAGCTTCTTTGAGGTAGTGAATGATATATTGAATCGACGCGGCCTCGAGTTCTTTTGTGCGGAGCAATCCGATTCGAGGTCGCTAGCTGAGCGTCGCCAGAGACGCGAGGATCTTCTCCGTTGCAGACGAGAACTTCGTCGCCAGTTATCGTTCGCCACTGAGGAAGAGGAGGAGGTAGTTCATCAGCTTAAGGAGGTCACGGCAGCAGCCCATACGGAGCGAAGGAAGCAGTGGGTGAACCAGCAACGCATGTATTTAGAGCTATTGCGCGATGCCTGGCGAGACCGCCGATTTGCGGAAGCACACCCGTGCTCTAGATTGACGTCAGGCTCTTCTTGGGGTATTAAGGAACGGAACCACTCGCATTTGCAAGGCTCTGCTCTTGCGGAGGAGGAGTGGATTGAGGCATGAAAGATTCCTGGGGGGGGGCTGTCCAGAAAAGTGGATTTTCAAGACTACCGCGCGCGCAAGCTTTAGACGGCCATTACCGGGCCAGGTAGGTGGACTGATTATTTGGAGGAGGCGGAGGAGGAGCTCAAAGGTATTATTTGAAACGGGCCCCAAAAAGGAGAGCATGTCCAGTTGATTCTGTGCCGCTGGAGATTTGGTTGATGTTGCTTCGACCAGGGGGCCGACTGGCTTTTCAACTCGCAGGAGCCGGTTGGGTCGCTCGGAGTCCAGGCCGAGACACACCAGCTTTTTCAGCAGGTTACGTTGCGCGGATTTGTCAAGATTCGAGCTTCGATGCGGACGCCAGTTGCCTGGCGCCGCAGTCAGGGAGTAGCTTTACACGAGAAGGCGGTGGACGGGGCGACGGGGAAGAGGGCGGTGCATCTGCTAGGCGTATTGGGGAAGGGATTCTTTGCAGAAGCTATGCGTCGGGGCGGAGCCCCGCGTTTTTACCACCGCGCGAGCGCGGATGAGCCCGCGGTTGCCGACAGGAAGGAGCAGTGCTAGTTCAGCAGCGCAGCGCGCATCGTGTACGCGAGCTAGGCTACTCGAGTCTGCCTCAAGGCAAGGACATGGCCAATGCCTTTGGAGCTTCGTCGTGGGGCGCCCTCGACGATGCAGTTCATCGGCTTTTTTTGCCACGAGATCGAGTGATTGCTCAGCAGCGCTATCAAGGGGCCACGGCGCGTCTTCCCCTGTCCAACGGGCACTTTGGTATCAAGACAGGCTCTGGCGCCTTGATGGGGGATCCATTTGCTGCGCATAGCTTCTGCCGCGCATTCTGGCCGCCCATCGAAGGATGGCAGGGGGCCCAGAGAGAGCATGGCGAGCAGGCTCACGCACGTTTGGTTCCTCATCCTTTTGCAGATGCAGTGGTGGATGTCTCGCTAACAAAATGCGCTGACGATGCGGTAATGTTCTTTATCGAAGATGAAGGAGATGTTCGAGAATGGGGAGCGGGAGTTTCGCAACTTTGCAAGGGGGCGCAGACATCCAGCACCTCCCTCGACGCTTTCTTAGCGCGGAGAGGCCATCAGCAGAGCGCCACCGAGCAATCACAACTATTTTCTTTAGTCGGTCCAGGTGCTGGCCTAGGAAGGAGGGCTCTGAGACATATCGACCGTCGCGGTTTCAAGCAGCCACCTATCTTGGGCAGCATCCACGACGTTGAACGCAGTCCTGGGGGCCAGCTGCATTATCGGGGCAGTGCGGGGCGGAGATTGCTAAGAGGGAGGAGGCTATTACTAGGTCATGTCATCGTGTGGGGGTCATCTGGAATCTCTCAGAATCCCGTGGAGGTGGTTGAGATGTCTATCCTTGTGCGGGGTGGTTAATTCTGCCCGAGCTAACTTGGAATCTTGTTTGGCATCGAACAATGAGTTTCAGAGGCGAGACCGTAAGATTGCACATAACGGCCGCGCGGCCATGAGTGGCCGTGCTGCAGATGGGGGGGGGGGGGGGGCGCTCATGTAAAACACGTTGTCCAACTTGGAAGTGTTACGGCACTGGGGCATTGCTCCGATGAAGATCGAGGTCCGGGTTGCCCGTGCAAAATGGTTGCAGCAGTGGATCAGGCGCCCCCACAATCATCTTCAGGAAGTTGCACGTGCGTTTGCCTATTGATAAGACGCCGACGTTGGTTGACGGAGCAGTTGCTGCTGATGCGAATCCCTGGGCCGAACGAGCTCGGGCAGAAATCGCGAAGCTATGCAAAGCCTCGGAGTGCGAGGACCTTCTGGACATCGCAGAAGGAAAGATCTCGGTATTTGTCTCCGACTCAGAGGTCAGCGAGGAGTTCTGCAAGCTAGACCCAGAGATCCTTCGAAGGCAGGTTATTGGGAAGATGGTTCCTCCTCCTGGTCTCTTTGGGTCCGAAGTTGTGGGTCTCAGAGGTTCCTATGGCCAGGCTTGGGGCTTCCTGAAGGGGTGCATGAAGAATCGGCGTTTACATGCATGTTCCACGCGGATGGGGCACGTTGCGGGGAGGCTTTTACTACTAAGAAGAAGCTATACACACATATTCGGGCAGGTTATGGAGTTCGTAGTCTTAGCAGCGTGTTAGCATGTACAATTCAATGTCCTGGCTGTCTGGAAATTTACACGCCCAAGACCTTGGCACACAGACATCTAGCAAATAGTTTCAAGAGAGGATAATGTTGGAAAGAACATGTTACCGCTCTACCGCATGTGCGTGAACCTAAACATTATAAATGCCTTGTGCGTGACTTTGAAGGCGGGTCTCTTCGAGGGCCCCAGGTCCATGTCCGTGCTCATTTCTTTAGCGATCGGGAATTTGGAGCTCGGCCTTGGGGAAGTTCGTCTCTCAGAAGATTGCAGATGGAGAATCGGCCTGCCTGGGTGCTCGGCCGAGACGAGCGACCAGAAGCGGCGCGCGGGCAGCAGCCGCGGTGGCGGCGGAGCAGGAGGAGAGTCGAGGCGTGCCACACTCGACGCGCTGACGGAGGTCACCGCCGAGCTCTCTCTGTCCAACGCGGCAGAGACGAGGGCCCTGGCAGGCGCCATCCTCACCACCGTGCTGACGCCCGTGGAGACCGCCATAGTGGGGAGCCTGCTCGAGTCTGGCGTCGGGCACAACCAGCAGGCGCAGGATTGGGCCAAGGCGAAGAAGGAGGCGCTCTCCAAAGGAGAAGACCCGCTTCAGAAACACGCAGGGTCCGCCCTCCCCGGCGCTGCACGTAGCCTTGGTGGAGCAGCTGGTCAAGATCGAGGAGAGCCGCGTAGCGGCGACTCAGACCCCGCTCGGCGAGTCACATGCGAAGCTGAAGAAGTACTGCGACGAGGTGCTGCGCCAGGAGGACGGCATGCTGAAGGCATCCTTGGACGTGCGCCACCTGCTCTGCAAGCGCGCGAAGAAGGTCGAGGGGAAGCCCGAGGTTGCGAAGATCACGTACCTGTTCCAGCCGACGGGGATCGGAGTCACCGCCCAGCGCCTGTTCGAGTGAAAGCTCGCGAAGGCCGGAGGGGAGCCCACCCTGGGCGGTGCTCCGAGGGGGGCGCTCGAGCGAGAGGGGCAGGCGCTGCTCGATCGGCTGAAGAAGAAGTGATGAGAGGGAGTAAAGGAATTTGTTTTGCAGGACGGCTTTCGGGTCCTGCTCTCGAGATCGCCTCCAGGCTCTTCGGTCCTTCTCTTGATCCTCCGTCCTCCTCTTCGAATCCCTCTCTGGCGATCGGAACAAATTTGGGCCCCCCCATCGACGCTGTAGATAGGTGTGTGCGTGTGTATGCGTGTGTGTGTGTGGGGGCTCTGATCGAAATCCTCCGCGAACCTCGAGCGAAGGGTAGAGGTCGTGGAAGGAAGGGGCGCCAGCTTTAACTTTTTTGGTGGTGCCAGGGGGGGCGGCTCTAGGCCGTGTGCCGTCGTGGCTTGCCCCTCAGGCCCCGCGCGGACAGCGTGCCGCCAGGGCCCCTGGCCATTCACGAATACGGGCGTTCAAGAATGCCACGCTGGAGTTTTGTATTGCAATTTCTGGGTTTCAGAGTAGTGCACTGCAACGTTTGTATAAGTCGTAGCTAGTTCCATAGTTATATCGACAGGAGTTCCCATAGCGTTCATGCTCATGCTCATGCTCATGCTCCTCCTCCTCCTCCTCCTCCTCCTCCTCCCCCTCCTCCTCCTCCTCCTCCTCCTCCCCCGAATTTTCGCACGAGTTCTCCGGGTCGGAGGTGCGAGGTGTCCTTGAGATGTCCCCCCCATCTTGGCGCCTCGCGGCATTCCGCACGTGGACTGGGGGATGGGTCACGGACACCCGATTGCGTAACGTCGATCGAGGCTGCCTGCTCGGCTGCGCTTGCCGAGATAGCCTATCACATTATATCCACTGCTTCTCTGTTCACTGGCTCGTCGCCATGGTCTCTGGCGCTCGGCATGGTCCCCCTCCTGCCCCTGAACCGGAACCCGTCCCTGCCCGTCTTGCCCTCTTTCCCTGCACGCCATCCCATCTCAGGAGGCTTGTGATTTTCTTCCCTCAGCATCGCCTCCTCCATGCGCGCAGCAGGCGGTCCGCCCACCGCCCCGCGCCGCAGGAGGCGTTTCAAATAGCCCAGGCCGCCCGCCTCGCCACGGATCTCGCATTGGGGTCGTGGCGGAGGCGCGAGCGAGGGCATGCGTAAAGAGAGACTGTCCCTCGGCGACGCTCCGCCTCCTACGCCTCCTCGCTACACCATGCCGCCCGGCGCGGGCACTTATATGTTCCGCAGGTGGGCCTCCTAGCGCCCAGCCCGCGGTGGCCCCTCCCCACGGCCAGGGGGCGTGGCTGGTGGCGCCAGACGCTGCCGTGGGGGACCCCTGCCCGCCAGCCCCCTGGGGAGGGGGTCCCCCGGCGACCCCCCCAGCGCCTTGCTGGACGAGCGGGATGGCATGGGGGGCAGCATCGGGCGGGGCAACGACGGCGGCAACCCAAGACACCCTCGAACCCGCCGCCGGACGACCCCGACGGCGCCCGGGGGCTGCGCGCTGCAAAACCACCTTCCTAACCAGCGTTACGTTACACCTGAACTGGCCGCCCTTGGGCGCCCGCCAGCGGCCTCCAGGGCCCCCGGCCAGGTCGTCCGATCCGCCAACGAAGAATCCAGCTGGCGGCCCTGGGCCCCGGCCCCGCCGCAGGGCCGCCCCCCCAGCCCCAGGCCCGCATTCGGCCCAGCCAGAGCCGAGGCCGCGGGAGCGGCCCAGGGAGCCCCAGGACGACGCCCGCGGGCCCAACTGATTACAAACGCGGGGTTGTGATCAGCGGGCCGCGGGGCGGCCCCGGGTGCCGCAGCGCGCCGCGCCCCCGGCACTCGCCCGGCCCCGCGGCCAGTCCCCCCAGGGCCGCGGTCATTGTCTGGCTGCGGACAGTGGGGGGAGGCGCCCCAAGTGCGCCGGCGTGGGGTGGGTTCGACTCGGCCCTCCCGCCCGTCCACCCCCCCGGGTCGCACCTGCTCTCGGACGGGGCGACCCCCGCCTGGTCCTGGTTGGCTGAGCGGCTTGTGGCGCGGGGTGGAAGGGGGTCGGGGGAGGGGGAAGCAAGGGGGGGGAGGGGAAGCCGGGGGGGGGGGGAGGGGCGGGGAGCAGGAGGCACGGGAGGGAGGAGGGGGGGAGGGGGGGGGAGGGGGGGAGGGGGGACAGGCAGCCAGGGAAAGGCGGAGGGTAGTCCCCCCGCGTGGCTGCCGCCAAGAATGCGCGGCGTCGGCTCTGCCCCGGGCCCCCTGGCCTGCCTTCACGCCACGCCGCTGGCCCGCTGGCACAGCGGCGGCGACCCCGAAGACGACGACGATGACGACGACGACGACGACGACGACGACGACGACGACGACGACGACGAC